CCTCCACAACAAAGTGGGAGGTAGGTAATCCCCAGATGGTCACTATCCTCTCTCTGGAGCCAGAAAGATTTTTCCATTGGTGTTTCATTTATTTATTTGTTTGTTTGTTTGTTTATTTGACAAAGAAAGAGATAGCAAGAGCAGGAACACAAGCAGAGGGAGTGGGAGAGGGAGCAGCAGACTTCCCGCTGAGCAGGGAGCCCGATGCGGGGCTGGATCCCAGGACCCTGGGATCATGACCTGAGCCGAAGACAGATGCTTAACGACTGAGCCACCCAGGCGCCCTCCATTGGTGTTTCTAAGTTGCTCAGTGACAGGTATGAGAGCTTGCCTGGCAGGAGGGAGAATGAACCCCTAGACAAGTGACCTGACCTGGGGGAATAGGTCAGTACCTCTGGCCACACCCAGCGCCGGCCTATTACCCGGCATGCTGCGGGAGGGCCCAGTGCTATCCCTCCTCTGCGTTCCTGGAGGTCGGCCATCATGACCCATCATGCTACTGGCCCGAGTAAATACTTGCTAACTGACTCTGTACACAGTGTGTAATCGATAAGGTCACAGAGAGAGGCTCCAGAAGGGAACGCCAACTGCACGTGGATGAGTTTTGGCAGGTGAAACGGAAATAGAGGCCTGCAGGGGTCTGGGACAGTCGTGTGAAGTCTGTGTAGAGCAAGGTATTCACAAGGGAGGGAGGAGCCGTGGAGCAGGCAGACAGATGGATTTTCTTTTCCTTAACAACATGGTTAAATTAATTTATATGCCTCCTTTTGTCAAATCTCAGATTTGGGGTCATTTACAATGGTGAGTTAGTAAATGATTAGTTAGTAAATGATCAGAAGGGTTTACACAATTATTGCAACTGCGAAGCACTTGGCTTTGAGGTTCCTGGCAGCCGGGGCAAAACGGGAGAAGCTATGCCTCTCAGCTTTAAGCAGCTTCCGGGAGACAGACAGATGTCCCTGATCTAAATCTTAAAGGGAATCCCTTAGGATTCCTGAGGAAGCTCACAGGATGAGGAAATAAAATGTATCTGCAAAGGGAAAGGAAAAAGTGGGGAAGTTGGGGGGTGGGGTGGGGAGGGAGACGACACAGAGAGCTCCTTGATATGACACACCCTCAGAGTGAGCACGGTGAGGGCACCCGAGACCAGACCCTGGTCTGACTTGGGCTCTGCCCATGCCATGCTGCCTCTAGGCCAGCCCCCCCGCCAAGTGAGGCCCCTTTAGCCCCTTTCTTGCTCCTTCCAGGCCCATCCCTCTTACCCCACTTCCCATGGGAGCTTCACCTCCAAGAGGGCTCCTTACACATCTGTGAGCCATTCCCTCTTCCCTCTCCTGCTCAAGCTCTGCACGGACCCGTTTCCCACTGCGGTGCAGGGAATGACTGCTAACTGGTCCAGAAAGCTACGGGTGGTTGCAGATGGTCTGATGGTCCAACCATGGTAAGATTTCAAAGCTGGAAGGGGTCTAGCAACTGTTTGGGGGAGACTAGAAGAGATTCTTTTGTCTTTAAAAGATAACCTAGTAATACTAACAAACCCAAATGATAAACAATGCATACATTGTTACATGTTGTTTATAACCCACGAAGATAGTTTTTTGAGAAGAACTATATGCAACCTGAATTCCTGAGATACAAAACATTATAATCCTGTTAGGGAGTTTCTTAGGACCCTGCAGTGGCACCTTCCTAAAAACACACCCGCCCTGGAGTGTTAATAAAGAGCCCCCAATCTGATGTGTTTTCAGTGTGAGATTGAGGCTCCCCATGCTGCCCCAAGGCCTCCCCAACCCTCTCTGGATGCACTGGGTTTTGCATAACACGTCAGTGTGCTGGGAGAGAGGAAAGGCAGGTGGCTGAAGAGCCTGAGGTGGGGCATGCCTTTAGGACATGTCTCAGTTGCTCCCCTTACTGATGGTTGATATTTGACCGATGCTTCATTTGGGGGCCCAGTTTTCTTTGGGGCCACCAGCAAAACACACCGGTGGGAAGCTGACTGGTGTTTGGGGTATAGTCTATGGTTCTCACTCACTGGGGATTGGCAGCGGTGAGAATCATTCACTCCTGCATCTAAGCGCAAGGGGCTAGACTGAGAAGACCCCCCGGAGAGGCCAAGCAAGTCAGTGCGGGGTAAAAGGACGCATGCGTGTGAGGGCAGCTGGGATGCCAGGCCAGAAGCCTTCCCGCCGCCCGCCTCCCAACGTCCAGTTCCCTGACTCACGTGCCTTCTAGACACCAATGACCTCGCACGAAGTTGTCTGATCCTGACCCTGCACCAGCCCTAAACCTGGCTCTCTGCTCACGTGTAATATAGACACAGTTGGCCAGAACAGAAGCCTTGACTTCTCTCCAAAATCTGTTCTCAACTCTCCCATTTAATAAACGGCACCAGCAATCCCCTAGCTGCTTGAGCCAAGATGCTGGAAGACACACTCTCGTCCCTCTCCATTCTGTCGGGCCCTACCCCAAACCAATCAGAGCAGAATCTCTGGGGGTGAGGCGCAGGCGTCCGTACTTCTTCAAAGCTCCCTAAGGGATTCTAATGTGCAGCCAGGTTTGAGAATTAGTGGCTTAAAATACACTCCAAATTCAACAGCTTCTGTCCAGCTTCACTGCTCCCACTTTGGTCTGAGCCATCAACCACGTCGTGTGCAGACCACTGCCATCCCTCTAATCCTCCTGGGTCTCTGCTCCACCTCAAACCCCCATTACAAGCACAAGACACTGTTTTTTTTTAAAAATCAGGTCATGTCATGCCTCTCCGTTGGCTTCCCACTACATTGAGAGTAAAGAGCAAAGCTCTCATGAGGCCCTCAAGGCCCTGCACGATCTGGCTTCTGCAGTCCTACCTACCTCTTCCAGCTCCTCTTGCTCCCACTCACCACGCAGAGGTCACCCCGGTCTTAGTCCTGCTCCCCAAATACTCCAAGTGCATGCCTACCTCTGCGCTTTTGCACCTACTCTCTCCTCTTCCTGGAAGGCTCTGCCCTCAGGGGCTTCATCTGCCTGACTCACAGCTCCATATGGCACTGCTCAAGGCCTTCTCAGATCCCCTAGAGCTAAAGCAGGCCCCCTGTGCCCCAGAAAAATCACCACCACATCACCCCGATCACACTCTTCGATTGTCTTTAAAATACTTATCACTGAAATCACCTTGTTCGGTCGCTCACGTCTTCACTGCCTGACCCCCTGCGCTAGGACGTGAGCTCCAAGGAGGCAGGGATGCTGGTCTGTCTTATCATAGCTGCCGCCATTGCTCAGAAAGGCCCTCTCACGTAGGAGGCACTCAATGGGCATGGCATTCACTTTGTCCCTCATCAGGGCCCCCAGGGCTCTTCCTCAGGGCTGCCAGCATGATCCCTGCAAAATGACAACTGGGTCTCACCACTCTCACTCAAAATCCTCAGGGGCTCTGGACCACCCCTCGTCAGCCAACTGCCACCGAAACCCATCCTCCTCCTCAGGTCCCACCATCCCACGCAGCTCCCGGGAGCCTCGAGGGGCCACACGCCTGCGTGCCCGCTGCTCTCTTGGCCTGGCCCACCGTCAGGGTCTTCCTACCCTGCCACCTGCCACTTCCCCTGCCAACAGACGCTGCTCTCACAACAACTGGCCAGTGCGACACCCAGCAGCCGTCCTCGTCGGCTAGACTGGTTCACGGCCGCTCCCTTGTTTTTCCACAGCAACCCGGGCTTTCCTCTGCCGCAGCCTTTGTCACATGGGGCTGGCCTCATCCACCTGTCTTCTCTAGACAGAGGGCACTCCGGTTGGAACCACATACAGGTCTTCCCCCTGCTTCTCGACGTTTGCATTACGTCACTTGGCCTTTACGAAAGACCCACTTTAGTACCTGTTTCGGCCAACGCAAAGACATCCGGAGAGGATGTTCGCTTTTACAACATGCGAATTGCTTTTTCGCTTGTTGCCGTTTGGCTTATGAAAGGTTTCACAGGAACGCTTTCAAATAGTGGGGGAAACCTGTACGCCAAGCCCTTCAAGGGCTGGCTGACTGGTGACCCCATAAATGGTGCCAGCACATGCGGGAGAAGAGGTGCTATCTGGACCGGCTGTTGATGTGTAATCGAGCTGGGAAAGCTGCTCTCCCTCGGGATGGATTAACAATCCACCGCCTGAACCGGCAGGAAATGGAGCCCTTCGAGGAGGGAACGAGCCCAGGACCCAGGGTCTCTATTTTGCTCTCCCTGGGGCTCACAGAAACAGAGTCTGGGTGGCCAGTGCCACGGCCAGTAGGGGTGCTTTCCTTCTCTTAATTTCAACATACTCGTCCTACGCACTCAAACAATTAAGCCACAGGAGGTCTTTATCAAATCACGCACTCTCGCTTTTCCCATACGAGATAATGAACAGGAACGGAGGGTTTAATACCACGGTACGTGACGTTCAGTAGCCACTTGCACAGCTTGGTATATTTAGCTAAGTCATCAGGCAGAACACCACCGCTCTACCCACAGATATTCACCAAAAGGCACTTGCTGCCGCCTGAAACAGGCTTGTCCAGCTTTTCAGCAAAAGATGAGCCTCACCCAAAGTGAAGGCCATTTCCGTGCAGGTTCCTGGAACTGGATATGGCTTTAATTTCAAGAGCACCTCGCTGCAGTCCTGTCTTCACTGGGAAGCCCTGCCCTGACCCAACCCCTCAGCATGCCCTCCACTCTGATGATCTGTCCCCAGTCTCCATGGTTATCTGACTGTGCCTTTCGAATGAACACGAGGCTCGGTTTCCGCTAGGCCAAACCCCTCCCGTAGCAGGCTCCATTACCATATACACCCGTGTACATACAGGTTCATCCAGCCAAGACAGAGAGACGCTGTGGCACAGATGGTGTCCCCTCGGGGGGGCCTGAGTTCACTTTCCCACCCCGGCCCTGGCCCTCCTGTCCTCCACACTCCCAAGGTCCAGGGGAACATGCGGGCTGTGGCCATGCCAGGGCCAGAGGAGGAGAGTGTGGGCTGGTTAAAACAGGCCCAGACATACTCACGGGGTCCGTCAGCATGGCCCGGCAATGGGACGCCAGGGCCAAGAAGGCCAGCAGGTTGAACACGACTCCGTTGACGATGCTGTACACGTAGTCTCGGGATGGAATCAGCATGACAAAGAGGACCACAAACTCCGCATAGAGGACCAGAAACCAGGTGACAATGGCGCAGGCAATGCCACAGCCGTCACGGATAAACCACATGGTTCCCACAGGACCGGGGTGGGGAGGTGGGACACACTTCTCTGGCTGGAGGTACTCTGGCTTCCGCTCAATGTCTCGGAAGTGGTGGGTGGGGATAAGCATCATAAGCTATTCTGTCCATACTGGCATCTGGAAGAGAGAAGAAAGGACCCAGAAAATTGGTGGTGTCTTGTTATCAAGGATATTTGACAAAATTACCTTTCTAAAGTGAGCCATGAGGGATGCCTGGGTGGCTCAGCCGGTTAAGCATCTGCCTTTGGCTCAGGTCGGGATCCCAGGGTCCTAAGGCCGAATCCTGCCTCTGCCTCCTTGCTTAGCGGGGAGCCTGCTTCTCCTGCCTGCCGCTCCCCCTGCTTGTGCTCTCTCACACACAAATAAATAAAATTAAAAAAAAAACAACCTTAAAACTCAGTATGTAATGGGGCGCCTGGGTGGCTCAGCCGGTTAAGCATCTGCCTTTGGCTCAGGTCACGATCCCAGGGTCCTGGGGTCGAGCCCCGCGTCGGGCTCCCTGCTCCGCGGGGAGTCTGCTTCTTCCTCCCCCTCTGCCCCCCGAACTCGAGCTTGCTCTCCCTCTCTCAAATAAAGAAATAAAAAATCTTTAAAAAAAAATAAAATAAAAAATAAAATGTGAGTGCTTGGGACACCTGGCTGGGTCAGTTGGTAGAGCATGTGACTCTTGATCTAGGGGTCATGAGTTTGAGCCCCACGCTGGGTGTAGAGTTTACTTAAAAAAAAAAAAAAAAGAAAAGAAAAGAAAAGTAAGTTCTCTTCCTTACTTCCTTCCCAGAGTTAACTTAGCTTTTGTGAAATAGGGCCACCTTGCCCAAAGCCTTCACATGACAGATATGCAAAGGGAGCCTTCCAAGGGCAAATGCTTCACCCAAGGTCAGCTGGAGCTGCAGCTGCACAAACAGGACACCAGTTCAGAAGTGGGGCTAGAACTCAGGTCTCTTTGTTTACTAGGGATCGATCTACCAGGAGGATGGTGTCAACAGATATGTTCCAGTTGTGACTTAAAAGACAAGACGGGGCACCGAGCACCAAGCCCTCTGGGAAAACTCTCTTTAGCATGGAACTGCTGCCTCTATGCCAAGGACAAACCCAGAGGCTGGTATTGAGGCTGTCTGGGGTTAATAGGGATGAGTAGGAGGAAAGGACCTGGTGACCTAGGACATCTTTGGACTCACTGTCCAACATTCTCCTGTTTGGGCCATAGGACTGAAAAACCCCGGATAGGGAAGGTTCTTGAAACCAACTAGGTTTTTCAGTCCTGTGGACCAAACACTTGATTTCCCAGGAATCAGAGACTCCCTGAGTTCTGCCCTCCTTGCAGGTGATGGGGTCAAGTGGAGAATGTTGGACAATGAGTCCAAAGATGCTTCCGCACCACCTGGCTGTGAGGCTTCGTGAGCCTTCGTGTCCTCACCTGTGGAGATACCCCCCTTCCCGCCCCAGCACCCCCTCCCAGGGCTGGTGTGAGGCCCCAGAGAGCTGGAGGTGCTCCCGATGAACGCTGCAGACTATAGCAGCCCACATACCACGGACCCCACACACGTGGCATATTCTCTCTAGGAAAGACATCCATTCCTTCCAAAACAAGTGCTGAGCAACACGCCCCTTCTTCCTAGCAGCTGCAGCCCGCGTCTCTGGAGACAGCAATGAAGTAACTCAGGATCGATAATAAAGTCGATCTGTCCACAGCACGCGCTACAAGATGCAGCAAGTACACATTTCCTTCCTCTGATTCCTTATCTTACACCTGGAGGCCTGTTGCTCACCAGGCCGGTTTCTCAGTCAGCAACTGCGCCCGCACAGGCCAGCCCCAGATGGAGGCGCCACAGAGCGACCACCGGAGCTGTCTACAGCACTGCGAGCGACATCTTTGGGCTTCTGAGAACTCCAGGCACTTGGCAGCGGAGGCAACCATTCACAAGGAGCGCGGCTCTGCGTGTTTTTCTGGAGGCCAGGGCTCTACGGGGCATGGGCAAACCTTCAGTGGTTGTGCTGGGCTTTCCTCACCCTTTGGCCTTCTTGCTCCCCAGCCCTCCTCCCCAACAAAGAGCCTCTGGACTGAATATGCTGTAGTCCTGACGAGTAAGGACGTGTCCAGAAAGCTGAGCCGGCAGTCACTGCTACTCAAATTGACAGACATTCTCGAGTCGCAAGTTGCAGAGGCTAATAATGAAAGAATAAGGCCAGGGCCTCCCCTCCCCAGGATGGCAGAGAATTAGTGGCCGAAAGGCAGTTTGATGCGTACCATGTACTTGTCCAAAGAAACATCGACTCAACAAATAGAGTGACTATCACATGCTGGGTACACTGTGCTGGGAGCTGAGGGTCGGGAAGTCGTGACATATGGAATAACCATCCCAAGTAGAGTAAAAGCAGTGGTTCCCCACAGGCCGTCAACCAGAATCTTCGAATAAAGCAACCTTGTGCTCTCCACGAGACAATGGCAATTGGTGCCGCCAGCGACAACCTAGAGGGATGAACGATGCAAGGACACCCTTCTGAGGCGCTAAATGGAAGGACAGCAGGAGCTTGCAGACTGGATCCGGGCCCAGCAGATTCTAAAACTCTAAGCTCCATTCAACCAAAAGCCAACAAATGAAAAGCTGAAATCCCATGAAATCCCATGAGTCCAAAGCTGATCAAAGCTCACCACTTTGATAACTCCCACAGGCAAGCATTCTCTTGGTTTTTCCTGCTGCTGTACAGGTCTGTAGGAACCCAGGCTCTAAACCCATAAAGTTGTACCAGACCACAGTCACGCCAAAGACGTATTGTCTCTGTCTGCTTTTGCATTACAATAGCCCCGCTGAGCAGTTGTCATGAGACCGTATGACCTGTGAGCCTAAAGCCTAAACTATTTACTCTCTAGCTTTTTTTTTTTTTTTTTTTAAGATTTTAGTAATCTCTAAAATATTTAAGTAATCTCTACACCCAATGTGGGGCTCGAACTCATGACCCCGAGATCAAGAGTCGCATGCTCCACTGACTGAGCCAGCCAGGCGCCCCTACGCTCTAGCTTTATACAGAAGTTTGCTGACCCATGGTTCGAGGCGGTTGTTACCCACCAGATAACTGAGATTTGTCTTGGCTCCAGCTTTCCCTGCAGAACAGCTCAGTGTGTCAGAAATGGGTGGTTACAACTCACCCCGCCCCACCCATGTCTGTGGCAGCAAAACCTCCTGTCATCTGCAGCCCGAAGGTCATCTCGCTGAAAGCCGTGTACTCCATCAAGATGTTCTTCAATTAGCATAAAAGGTGTGGTTTTCTGCAATGGATGATCACTGAAAATAAATTTCAGAACAATGCTCCCTTGTAGATACGTATTTCCAGTGATTACATTACACTCATAGTATATTCAGACCAGTTGACTGTATTCGCTCGTCAATTACTCATTCTTGATTGTACACATGGCAACAACTTGACTAATGTTGCATATGTGTGGTTTTGCTGAGGAACAGACCCTTCCACGTAAGTAAATTTCCCAGTAACTGTGGCTTGTTCCTGAGCAGATACACGGTTTAACCATTAGGATGGTTAAGGTGGAAATAAAAAATAAAACATGGAAGTAAAATAAAAAACAGACCAAAAAAAAGTATATATATATACTATACCTGCTCCTGCCTTAAGTACAATAACCATCCATTTCTTTGGAATGATTTAGTTATTACTGGGCATATCAATTACTGGAATGTATCAGGGAATGATGTCCTCAGGGGTCATGGAGACTCACTGAGCTCTTGGCCTCACACCAACTGGCCTGTGCAGACTACTAGAATTCTAATTCCAACATCTCCTTTGTATGGTTCTTTGTCTTCCTCTTCCATTCCTGGCTACTGTCATTCCTGTGCCTATAGTTGCCACCCCCCCTGACAAATTCTCCATTTATGACCGCTAATTGGCTGTGGGCTGGAAAACAAATAAAACTAAAGCCGGTTTAGTTTTATTTGTTTGTAAAAGAAGGGTACTCATTTTCGGTAACAGGCCTTTAGGGAACACCTGCTATGCTCTCCCACCACACAGTTCCTGTGGGCTGGAAGCCCTGTCTTTTCATCAGCCCAGTGCCTGGCATGTAGTGGCCATTTACCGTGTGTGTTTGTTACCCAAATGCTTGAGTATGATGCCAGAGCTCTGTGATCCCAGGCCCACCTCTGGAGGCCCTGTCTGCTTCCTTTCAGGGGTGTGGCCATATCCTAGACGGTGGAGAGTGCACCAAGTAGGACTGTGAAGTAAGTGGACTGTGACTCTTTTTTAAATAACCAGAACGTTCCATCCTCAAACAATGTGGGACCAAAGAGTGTATAGAGGAGCTCTGTTTTCCCCTCACTGGTGAGGGAGAACCTGTGATCTGGGCCAGCACCCAGCCAAGGGCACACTCGGCAGAGTCAGACACCAAGTACTGAACTCAAGTTCACATTCCAACCCACACTTTAGCGTTTCAAAATATCCTGCTCAAAACCAATCAAAGCACATGGCGGTGAAGAGTTTATTTAACCCCAAGGCCCCTCAAGAGCAATGGGAGCAGCCTTCCAATAAGGATCTGTTCCTTAAATTAGTCAACTGGAAATCTTAGAAATACGGGGAAAACCTCACCTCGAGCAAATTGTGCACTTTCCCTTCATTCTGCCCCTAATGACCACAGCAGGAGAGGCAAATGTTGACCTTTTCTCCTTTTCTATTTTGAATTAGGGAAACTCCAATCCTTGGGGTTGAGGAGAGGCTCTTTGCCCATGACCGACTGCCCACGAGTCCTTGCTTGTGAGCGTTGGGCAGACTGTTGGCTCAGGCCTCTGGGGTGTGCACACAAGGAGGCTGGTGGGTCCGGGGACCTTTAATCCTGCCCACCAGCTCACACCCTCAGAAGGACGGCCCCTCCAGTCCTCCCCCCACTCCACCCCTTTTCATCCCATTCCCTTGCCCTGTTGACTCTCTAAATTCTCCTGTCTTCATTTCAGTTCAATTCAAAAACATATTCCTGGAGCAGCCACTAAATGTAAGCAACTGCGCGGGGGCTCACACACAAGGGATGATGAGGACAATAATGTGTGTGTGCTGCCCAGTTCAGGCCCTGCCATTCCCCTCTGCCAGCTCCCGATCTGCTAAGACTAGTCTTACTTGCTTTGCCCTACTTAACCTGTAAGTCCCAGTTTGTTCGGCGTTAGAGCCTGGTATCTGGCAGGAGTATGTGCTCAAATCATTTCTTGAGTGAATGGATGCAGAAATCGGACAGACCTACCCCACAATGACCTTAACACACAGGTTTCTAATGAACAGCACAATGGAGAGGCAAATAGTACGTCCCCCCCAAAAAAACAAACAACAACAAAGCCCAGAAATGAGATAAATAGACTTTCTCATGGCCCGGGCATCTAAAGGGAGAGGATCTGAGCAGGGTACGGAGCCAGGTGAAGCGTTCTGTTCAGACAAAGGCAGGGAGAGTGGTGACGCAGGTTGGGGGTGCTGGATGTCTGGGGCTGTGTGCGAAAGTGTGCGCATACATGGGCTGTGTTGGGACTAGGACTAGGAGGTGGGGGGCGCTAAGTGGAAATGAAGCGCTAAAGGTAGGATTATGTTATGTAGGCTATGTTTTACAAGGCCTCGGGCTTCAAGGTGAGTTGGGACTTCACCCTGGAGGTACTGGGGAGGCACCCCAGTCTCTGAGGAAAACTATAAGGACCGTAGTCACGCTGTGGTAAGGGCGCTCTGGCACTAACAGGCAAGACAAAATGAGACAGACAAGAGGTCTCCGAGTCCACCAGATGCCAACGAGCCCGGGGAGGCACTGAGGCAACAGGCCAGAGATGCAGTTGGGTGGAACTGGGTTTTCTGATCCTCTTCCATTTTGTTTCCAAAGAAAGATCTAAAACAATGATCATTTGGCAATTTTAATTATACTAATCTATGTTGTACTGCTTTGGCCAACGGTTCTAGAGCATTAAGAGGAGCTGGCTTTTCCATATGTTAGTAATCCATGCCCAAAGTCATTACTCTTCTACCTGGTGGATGAGCACACTGAGGCCCAGAAAGGCGAAGGGACTAAGCCCTGGGGGTAAGGAAGTCATAGGAGGATTCACAGTACCAGAGGAGTTCTAGAGCTCCCGGGAGCTAGCGATCAGATGATAAGGAAGATGCAGTGTTGTGTCAGAATGACCTTCTGGGAGCTCTGCTATCCGAGAATGTGGGAATTCTGAGGAAATCATCTAGTCTTCCTTCTTAGAGTTTCAGAAGCAAAAAACAGAAATGACTGATAGTGATCATTTTCTAAAACAAGAGCAAAAACAAAATCCCCCTACACCTGGTCCACAGAATTGCCTCCAGATCTATAACTCACATGCTTCATTATACCTGACCACAGTGTGCCCCCCACTAATCCAGACAAGCAGACGCAAATCTATTTAGTGAAATGCAGTCTGGGGCGCTACAAGCCCCAGGGTTTCGGGTACTGGGTTGGTGCTGTGGTATGCACTCATGACTCAATTTCCATGCTGCCTATCTATGGCTGAGCAACACAAAGGGGTTTGAAAGGGTGGTGCTAATGGCCAAGCTCACAGGTCCCATCCCACTGTGGCCCATCAGCAGGTTAGCCAGGCTAGATGCCTAGCCAAGTGTTGACCATTAGTGATGGCAAGAGTTGCCTGTAGTTACCCATCATTTGTTGAACGGTGGGCAAGTCCTTATAAATCCATCACCTGCCCTAAGAAAATTGACCCAAAGCCCAGGCTTTATGCGTAAGGGTCAAAGCCACGACCATCACATAAAACATACAAGTTCTGTACTGGAATGTATTAGAGCCCCCACAACTCCACTGTTCTCCATCCAGCAAATGTCCCAGGAACTGCAGATCCTCTCAGATTGCCAACATCCCTGGCTTTCACGAGATAAGATGCTATCCCGAAGTCCCGGATTAGTTCAGCTAGATCTAAAATCCTTACAAGCATCTCAAAGTACTTTGTGAAGATTAGTTTCCTAAGACACCACACCCACTCACATTCTCACATCCACACATGCATTCATGCACAGCACAGAAGTAGGTTTTGGGGGCTGCTCAGATTAAAGTAGCATTAACACACCCAACCATTGAAATATCTGTACACAGACTGGCCGAATAAACTCAAATCAGGTGCAATTATTTTCCCTTGGCTTAGAGACAAAGGTCATCCAAACACTCCAAAAAAATTTTTTTTAAGGATTCAACTTTCTGGGTCCCTAGTAGTAGGAACATATAGTTCATCTATAGATCAACTCAATTTCATCAACTCCTTAGTTGACGTCATGAATATCACCAAGGTAGTAGAAACCCTTAAATCAGAGGCTTTTAACATAGGTCAGCATTTGTTTCAGGTGAATAGTTAACATTTTAATAAATCTAGTATTATGCTGAATTGCTGTTGGGGGGGGGGGCTGGTCTGATATCCTCTTGAACTTGCCCTAAACACTGAATTCTCACCTAAACTAATTTTTACTACAGTTAAAGAACTCAGTCTACCCTTACACAATCACTTAAAAGGGGACTAAAAGGTCCCCTGAAAGAAGGCAGCATCTTTTCTGGTACTTCTATCATTTTTCTCAATTGAAATTCATTTTAACGAGTATATCAATAACCTCCTATGGCTTAAATCCTACTGTCTCAAAAATGTGGTGTTTGCCTCTTTTAGAACTTCTCACATTTCAGAGTGATAGACTTAAAAGCATTCAAAAGCCAGCCCTACAACTTCAAAGATAAATAAATGGTCCATGCCCTAGAAGCTTTAGGAAGGTATCTGAAGAAGTAGAAAACCAATTTATCTGAGCTACAATTCTCTTAATTTGTGTAAGGATCTAAAAGGGTCATAAATTTTATACCCATTTTTAGAGGGTTCTCAGAAAAAGAATGAACCATGAATCACTGTTTGAAATATTTCATTAAAAAAAAAAATGAGTCACTAAACTTTTTTTTTTTTTTTAAAGGTAAGGGTGTAGTTCAAAGGAAAGGTGCCTTATCATCTGCATCACAACCCACCAGCCAAGGAAGGCGTCCAGGCAAGCAGAACGCCCTGGACTGTTCTAGAAGATCTTTACCGACAAGTCTACATGATTCCTCCCTCTGCAGGAGGGTCTGTCCTGCTCTGCCTGTCTCTTGTCTTCTGATGTACTCAACCTTCAACAAAATGCTTGAAAAAAAAAAAAAAAGTAAAACATCACACCCTCAAACCAAACCCTACAGACATTAAGGTTCACCGAGAAAATCAGATAGGGGTCGGTAAGTTAAATTTGCCTTCTGGCCTCCTAACTGGCCACCTTCTTA